ACATGTGTTTATTTCTTTCACGCAATGGATGATCCTGCCAACAGAAAGTAAGTAGCCATTTTCGTTAGCACTGTCGTATTGGTGTGAATCATCTGATGTACTATGTCTACTTCATGATACTGCTCTAACACGATCATTTCAATTGCTTTATATAATTTAAAAATTATATGTGATATCAAAAATTCGAAAACATGCACTGTTGAATAATTCTTGGCATAGATATAGATATCAAAGTAACGGAAATTATTCTGTAATAATTTCGCATTTCATTACGACATGTTTTAACATTCACATGTGACTGAAAGTTTAAGCGTTTCCATTTAGACTGATCACATCCATCAAACGATATCAATACTTATACTGGAGATATTTTTAACAATTAAACATCTATTGTAAACCTCCTATATTCAGTTAAGTCATTATGCCAATTCATTCTACAATGGTTATTCCGGTATCAGATGATATTGAACATTTCTTCATATATCCAATAAGTGAAATCATATTTTGACGTGTTAACATTCATACCGTCTACATACAATTAGCCTTTTGAGCTAAATGTCTACCAAAATGAACGCTCACCTGACCATTGTTAGTGCAATGTTTATACTCAGGAGCATGAGGTCCACATTCATATTGAAAAAAATGTCGCAGTAAGCAGAAATATCGTTGGTAACTTTCAGTTTCTCAGATATCAGTTAATTCATATAATCTATAAGGCTGTTAAATGATTAGGCACGATAACATAGCAAATATAACTAACATAATATGTTCTCGACTGGCTTTTTTGCCTTAAAGAGTATAAGTTTTATAGAATAAAAATTCTTGGAACATAATCTACAGAAAACTTGAGAATGACGGCTTAAATTTAGAGATCAAATGATTTCAACACAAACATTGCAAAATTTGCAAACAGTAAAATCTATTGATAATAATATATGTAGATGTAGTTGAATGAATCATTCTCATTTCCTCATACTCCGGTTATTACAAAATGGAATCATTTTTCATTTTTGAAAATTCCTCATGACTATCATATATCGGAAGGGTGAATTCATATTTTGACGTGTTAACATTCATACCAACTATGGATTAACTAACACTTGAATGTCAGTCAGAATAGCCGCTAACCTGACATGTTTGTCAAACGTTGAAATTCGTAGAGATAAGTCTTTTAGCATGATTATCATGTTTTAGCAAATAACTAATATATGTTTCTGACTAAATGTTCTTCCATATGCATTCTTAAATGGTATTTAGAGGTTATTATAATCGTAGTCTATAATATTATTGCCTTTCATTATTATTAAAATTTCTAGAGCACGTGTTATTCTTAAGACCTGTATCACGGACATTTATGGTTTGTTTCTGTTAATGCAATCGGTAACATAACTTATAATGTGGAAACAGTTATATATTAACAGACTTTAGTTCTACTTTTCGATCACATGAACAAGTATAATTGATCTATGATATATTTATTAAATGACTGCGATGGCAGCTATACTATCTGTTATAAATAAGTTATAGTCTTACATGTGTTTATTTCTTTCACGCAATGGATGATCCTGCCAACAGAAAGTAAGTAGCCATTTTCGTTAGCACTGTCGTATTGGTGTGAATCATCTGATGTACTATGTCTACTTCATGATACTGCTCTAACACGATCATTTCAATTGCTTTATATAATTTAAAAATTATATGTGATATCAAAAATTCGAAAACATGCACTGTTGAATAATTCTTGGCATAGATATAGATATCAAAGTAACGGAAATTATTCTGTAATAATTTCGCATTTCATTACGACATGTTTTAACATTCACATGTGACTGAAAGTTTAAGCGTTTCCATTTAGACTAATCACATCCATCAAACGATATCAATACTTATTCTGGAGATATTTTTACCAATTAAACATCTATTGTAAACCACTTATATTAAGTTAAATGTTGATGCCATTTTATTTTACCATAGTTATTCCGGTATCAGATGATTTTGAACATTTGTTCATATATCCACCAAGTGAAATTATATTTTGACGTGTTAACATTCATACCGTCTACATACAATTAGCTTTGTGAGCTAAATGTCTACCAAAATGAGCGCTCACCTGACCATTGATCGCGCAATATTTATATTTAGGAGCATGAGGTCAACATTAAATTTGAAAAATTTACTGCAGCATGCAGAAATATCGTTGGTAACTTTCAGTTTCTCAGATATCAGTTAATTCATACAATCTATAAGGCTGTTAAATGATTAGGCACGATAACATAGCAAATATAACTAACATGATATATTTTCGACTGACTTTTTTGCCTGAAAGAGTATAAGTTTTATAGAATAAAAATTCTTGGAATATAATCTACAGAAAACTTGAGGATGACGGCTTCAATTTAGAAATCAAATGATTTCAACACATATATTGCAAACTTTACAAACAGTAAAATCTATTGATAATAATATATGTAGATGTAGTTGAATGAATCATTCCCTTTTCTTCATACTCCGGTTATTACGAAATGGAATAATTTTTCTCTTTTGAGAATTCTTCATGACTATCTTATATCGGAAGGGTGAATTCATATTTTGACGTGTTAACATTCATACCATCTATGGATTAACTAACACTTGAATGTCAGTCAGAATAGCCGCTTACCTGACATATTTGTCAAACGTTAATATTCATAGAGAAAAGTCTTTTAGCATGATTATCATGTTTTAGCAAAAAAACAATATATGTTTCTGACTAACTGTTCTTCCATATGTATTCTAAAATGGTATTTAGAGGTTATTATAATCGTAGTCTATAATAATATTTCCTTTCATTATTATTAAAATGTCTAGAGCACGTGTTATTCTTAAGACCTGTAACACGGATATTTATGGTTTGTTTCTGTTAATGCAATCGGTAACATAACTTATAATGTGGAAACAGTTATATATTAACAGACTTTAGTTCTACTTTTCGATCACATGAACAGATATAATTGATCTATGATATATTTATTTAATGACTGCGATGGAAGCTATATATCTGTTTAAAATAAGTTATAGTCTTACATGTGTTTATTTCTTTCACGCAATGGATGATCCTGCCAACAGTTCGTAAGTAGCCATTTTCGTTAGCACTGTCGTATTGGTGTGAATCATCTGATGTACTATGTCTACTTCATGATATTGCTCTAACACGATCATTTCAATTGCTTTAAATAATTTTAAAATTATATGTGATATCAAAATTCGAAAACATGCACTGTTGAATAATTCTTGGCATAGATATAGATATCAAAGTAACGGAAATTATTCTGTAATAATTTCGCATTTCATTACGACATGTTTTAACATTCACATGTGACTGAAAGTTTAAGCGTTTCCATTTAGACTTATCATATCCATCAAACGATATCAATACTTATACTGGAGATATTTTTTCCAATTAAACATCTATTGTAAACCACCTATATTCAGTTAAGTCATTATGCCAATTCATTCTAACATAGTTATTTCGGTATCAGATGATATTGGATTAACTAACACTTGAATGTCAGTCAGAATAGCCGCTAACCTGACATCTGTGTCAAACGTTGATATTCAGAGAGATAAGCATTAGCATGATTTAGCAAATAACTAATATATGGTTCTAACTAACTGTTCTTCCATATGCATTCTTAAATGATATTTAGAGGTTATTATAATTGTATCGCAAATATATTGTTGCCTTTCTATTATTCATACAATGTCTAAAGCTGATACTATTCTTAAAACACGGACAAAAAATATTGAATAATTCTTGACATAGATATAGATTTAGATAGTTATCTATTATCTCGTTCCCTTTCACGATTCATGCAACGTGTACTTACGGATTATAGTACGGAAACGTACTGTCATTTTTCGAGTATTCGATCGTATGAACTTACATAATGAATCCATATAGAATGTCCAACTGATGAATGCAGTGTCTGCTATATTCTCTCTTACATATAACTCTTCATTTAATATCGGTTGTGAGGTGGCCTGCTAAATGCAAGTAATTTGCCATTTTATGAATGTTATTAGGACGGTGTGAGTCACCCGATTTTCATTGATAATCCTGTTCTAACACGCTGTACCATTTACATACGAAATGTAACAATTACCAGTATACAAATTCCGTATTGGTGAATGATTTTCGATATGGATATAGATAATTGTACCGGTTATTATACTGAAGTAATTTTTACTCGATTATGAGTAGTTTTCCTCTGAAATCAAAATCTACCTAAAATTCCGAACATTTATTTTTTTCCTTTTAGCGACTAGTCGATTTCTTTACATATATATTCGAATTTACACAAATTAATCATTTTTGTAAAAACATTTGTATCTAGTTAACTCAAACAACATCGTATGTTTCCGACTGACTGTTCTGCCATATACATTCATTAGTAAAAATTCTGTAGAATAAAGTTCGTTTAATAAAACCAGTAAAAATATGAGTGTTGCGTTTCGATAACTACACAGTTACCTTCATCCAATAAAAGACCGATGTGAAGCGTACTAGTACTGACGTAAGTAGTGAAAAAGATGGTATGCAGTCAAACAACTTTCAGCATTACTATACTTAAGTAGGCTTAGATCGAAAATATTGCGACGAGATAGGTAACAGATTATGGGAAAAACACTAGATGTATGTTAATCGATTCGACTCTGCTTTGTTGAATACTTGGTCATAGATGTAAGAGAGTCTGTGCCTCCACCACAACCCCTCATCTCTGTTTATTACAGGCCCACAGCAGCCTATCCAGATGATGATCTCAAAACAGCCCCCTGAAAAGGTTGTTCATCATATCGATCTTTTTCAAGGTTCCTAGTCGATGATATGATTTTACTGCGCAGAATGGTCTTTAGGTGACACGTATATGATCAGAAATACTGTATAAATGTCGTATTTATTGCGTGAATCCATGGAATGTGGTTCGACTGTTTGTCATTTAGTGACCATTTTCATAGTTAACATGTTTGTTGTATATGACCATGTATTTTCAGAAGAGCGTGACTACAACAGATATCTGGCTCTTTTTGATGGAGAAACTGAAAGTTATCGACACGTACGCGCAGTGTTTTCCGGGAAGGAAAACACGGGAAAGACTACCGTATGTCGCCGTCTCCAGGGAAAAAAAGTCAATCTGAAGTTGCGCAAACCAACCGTTGGTGCTGCTTTACATCCTGTATGGTTTGGTATCGACTGGAAATCAAAAAGCTGGCAGCCTAACAATCAATCACCAAGTGAAGTAGTTGTGGCTCGAATGGGAGCAATGATAACTAATACAACACCTAATATGCCGACAGGTATATATAGTTTACTGTAACTCTGGGATACTATCTTTATGCAAATACATAATTTAGCGAAAATTATGTTGGTTGATGTGAATTACTGTATTATTTCATTGTAGTTTGACTTCCTCACATTTCACCGCATTACATGTAAAATCAAAAAAATTAAAGGCGAGGTTAAAGTTGATACTAAACATAGGATTTATTTTAATGGACGGATTTTCAAAAGTGCAATATAGGCAGATCACTGCGATGGCAATATAACCCCGTTTTGAATGTATCCCCATACAGAGTAGTTATTATTGAATTTCATACTGTAACACTTTTTTTCGATAGTTCAATTTTTTGCATTTTTATGAAAATCCAAAACACTTTCAACGAATATTTTTACGATCTTTTTTCAATCTTCGGAACAATCGAAAATGTAACCTTGAAAAACAACTTTACAATAAGTAACAGGGTTTGGTGTGTTCATATTTACCAAATAATTGTTATGAATCTAGGTGAGGGCTTCCTATGTTTTTTGTCTTTATGACAATGACATTTCATGAAATTGAAATAAAAAAGTAAAAAACCAGTCAAGAAAAGGGAAAAAAGATTCAATAATTGATATTATCATAATATACAATTGTAGCTACAATGAAAGTAATATGTTACTCTGACTTGAATTTCTTTTTGGATGCACAATGCAAATATATCATTTAGATTTTAACACCGAATTTCAGCGTATTAGGCTGCACGTCAAAACAGCAAACAAATGATTATAAGCTTTTAGGCTAACTTCAGTGCAAGGTATTACGTAAATCCACTAAAGGTCCTTGGGATTACTTACGGACAACAGAGTTTGGGTGTCTTAAACAGAACTGTACAAAGTTATGTTCCATCGTCGTTATCCAGGAAATCGAGATAGAGAATTGGATAAATTGTCAGAACCACAAGACACCAAATCACAGGATATGAGTGCTGTCCGAAACAGAGACAAACAAATTACTGAAGAAGCAAACGCAGTCAGCAGAGCTGTATATATTGTACCATCTGATATGGTGTTCCTTTCCTTATGGGATATGGGTGGACATGCGTCGTTTCAAGCTTCACACAATATCTTTATTTCCTCTCACGGAGTATACCTTCTGGTCTTCAGACTAACAGATTTCATCAAGGACAAGCTTGAAACTGGTAAGCGAATTGGTTTACTGCTATTTCATATTTACAATACACATTGAAACAAATTCTTATTGCTTGAGCTTGAGCTTACCCTAAAATCTCAAAAATAAAAAGGCGGCTTATTTTTCTTAATAATAAATAGATATATGGTTATTCCTGTAGGAAAAATTGTATGAGAACAAGGTATGCAACAACGGAACCAACAGGCAAACTAACGAGCATCAAATACATCCAACTTTATCGCACAATGAAGTAGTGTATTTCTCAATGAGATACCTATGACGACCATAACACCAAATAATTATCAAATACTAGAGATATAAAAACAGGGAGAACAGGTGCCAAAAAGTTTTGTGAGTAAAGATGGCTGGACGAGGGCATAATCCTTACTAAGGGGCGCGTGTACCCCGATTTGTCCATTGGAAATGTTATATCAATCGGTTTGTTCTATCCAGAACCTCAATTGCATGCTGCCTTTATGCATTGATCAGGCGTGATAAACTATAGTGACAAAGCCTAGAAGTAAGACACTGTAGCTGGTCAATCCTTCGGCAAAGGCATAGTCTATAAACAGTGGGAGGTCATCTCTTAAGCAATACGTACTGGAATTAATCATATATATGCATTGCTCTTTCTGATGAAATTCCGAAAATTCGAATATCAGTAAAATACGCAAAAATAAGAACCATCTTAAACAAATGCATTTGTTTCCTATTCATAAATTGCTTTTAAGTTTATCGACTATCTAGTTATACATCCAAAGTTTGATGGCCTTCTTATGTTATGTTCTTCTAATCATGATTTCGGTGATTAATAATGCTGATTAACAGAAAAAGTATCATGAAGTTAATATCCACATCACAAGTGGAACTCGGGAATAATTACATACAGTCATGATAGAATGAAACGTATGCGGATCAGTATAGTTCGTTGTCAATTTCAGTTTACGGTTTGGTTGAACATTGCTCTATATAAGATGTTTATTGTGAATTATTTTAGTTTTGTAAATTTAAGGTTTGAATGTTTGTAATCTGACAGTTTCTTCATTTCTTGATTAATTGTTGAAGACAAGATGACATTCCATGACCAATTTATTAAAATTCCTTTACACAAGCTTTAAGGTCTTTTTGTATACAGATCGGCTTAAAAACTGGGTTCGACTGATAGGTACATTTTCCTCGTCTGAATTGAATGCTGAGAAGCTTAGCACACATGCTCCTCCGATAATTTTTGTCGGAACCTTTTTGGATAAATTGAAAAAGAAGAGAAAGAGAAAGGTAAGTGACAAATTTCCATTTTAAGAACTACCTCCAATGTGATATTTACATAAAGTCACTGTTATATGTTTATATCTTTTCATGACAGAAAATGCATAATTCCTTGCATAACATATATTATCTATAATTTTCTTTGTTAACAAATACATCGCTCAAAATAATCATTTTGTGTTTGTTCATGGCTTTTCCTTTTTATAATTAAACTATGTTGTTTGTATTAGCAAATATCAATCATTACCACAGGACTACAAAAAACAAGTTGATGACATAAGATTAAGCGTCTGCAGATTTCCTGAACTATCAGCGTTTAATTTCATCAAATTCTGCACACTCGACAATAGTCTTGGAGCGCATCATGAAGAACTTGAAATTTTGAGAGGCTTTGTGACAGAAGCAGCTGAGCACCAGGATCAATGGGGCAGAAAAGTACCATCTCAGTGGTTAAAGCTCGAGAAGGACTTACTTGAAGCAAGAGAAAATGGAAAAAGGATACTCAAACTGTCACAAGTGATTGAAATGAACAAATCCTTTGCTACCACCTCGTTATCGGATGAGAACGAGATCAAACTTGCACTTGAGTAAGTCTATACGTTTATACATAGCTTTTGGCTCTGCTTGATTTGTCAATATAAGTAGTAAACGAAATCTAGACTGAATGTAGTATTCCATGAATGTGGACAAACCAGTATATTTGTAATTACCCATAACAAATTTAATACAGACAACGGCTACCACTGGAATAGTCTGTTAATATGCCTGCCTTTTTTACTCTTGCTCTTCAATCGCAATCGGGGTATCACATGATATGTTCTATATTATTTGGTTGACAAAAAATAGCGATGTCAAGGACATGCTTAGTTAATCATGGATGTCACACGAGATTTAAAATCAGACCTGGGAATATCATTAATTAAAACACGTTAAGACATCTTAGAAATGAGAACATGAATTTCCTTTGATGTATCCTTATCTACCATAAGCTGATTTTTGATAATTACTGAACAGCCTTAACAAGAAATCATCAACTATTATAGCACTGAATGTCGGCAAAACACATTCGCCTTCCACTGTAAGGATAAAACAAAGTGTCTCGTTGATAATTTTTCTAACGCCCTGGCATCATTTATCCTCCGTCTCTTTTATCTGATTTTCCTATTGTCTGATTGACAATGAAACATCCTGGACCCGATCAGATTATTTTCATTTTATTACCATAATTTGTTACCCCATTGACTATGTTCTATACCTCTCCTTGAAATTTGCTTATGTCAGTGCAATTCATAAAGACAGTTGGTAATGAAAGTGACTGATCAAACTGTAGGTCTGCGTGTTTTACCTAGTGTAAAATAATAACTATTAGTAAAGTACATGGTCGAAATTGAAATTCTTATTGACTCTGCAAGATGGAAGTTCATAAAATGAAGAACACCTTTTGATATCACTTTAGAGTTTGATACAACAAAGGTAAATAGTGGATTAATCTGCATCATACAGTTGATTTGTTCTTCCAAAACAGTGATGCTTAAGTTTTTAAGTTAATCGAGGAAGTTTCACAGTTATCAAAAGAAAAGTCAAATCTAAGTGAAGCTAATGTTTCAACATATTGGCATGTGAATGCAGGTCAAACTCACTAGTAGCCATGGTCTCTGTCCGTTATTTGTTGAGGAACTACCTTTGGTTCTACATCCTTGTCGGTTCTTGTGCACTACTTGTCTACTAGTTTTTTTCTACTTTTAATGGGTACAATGGTTAACAGAGTGCTAATTGCGTAATCCAAAACCTAATGATATATTTCAATCGATTTTTCTTTTGTTAAATTATACTAGATAAACACAAATTTCTTTTTATATGTTGGTAACATTAGGTTAGTAATTAAAGTAGCTATATTTCCATAATTAACATTTAATTTGTTTAAACTTTATTATTATTGCGATAAACCTTACACTTAACTCTATTTTTGCTCCATAGTATTGTTATGGAAAAGGATGATTAATCAAGGTAGAAGACATGCATTTATTCAGGTTTATGATTTGACAAGGTTTTGATATTAGTTTGCATAATTAGAAAGTTTTATTCTACAACTTGCAGTGCCATTGTTGGAATGCACGTGCCACATATTTTTTTTCTGTACGGCTGTATTTTAGCACGTGCGGTAATTCGACAGAATAACTCTCTGAATTTACTTTAAAATTACGTGTAATGATATAAATGTTGAAATAAGTTATTTAACATGTTGTAAGGAAAAAGTTTATTTTTGAAAATTCTTAAAATCGCTGTCATATCCGTTGAATTTTGGAACTACATTTTGAACAGAACATTAATTTTGGCATACCTCATCAGGTAAAATTCAGCGTAATGTCAATGACAGGTAAACATATTGAACTGCTGAAGTTTTGATCGTCTGTTTTACAGTCAGTGTTGCAGTGACAATGCATTCTCTATATATTTCTGAGAACGTATAGTACTTCGGCAATACTCCGTACTCATTATTCAGGTACCTACACTGTACAAGGTCCGTGGTTTATTTCCGGGAATTTGACCACGTCATCATAGACCCCCAGTGGCTTGCCGATTTCTTCAGTATCTTCATTACTGATGAGCAGTTTCTCCCAAAAGCCGACCTGAAAGTGACTCAAGATGTGGAGTTGTACAAAACTAAAGGCGAGTTGACTCAGAAGTTGATCGAGTATCTACTCAGTCTGGAAAAGAATAAAGATTTCCTTCCATACGTCGATGTTCTCCTGGCCTTGATGGAAAAGTTTGGACTGATAGTGAAAATACTCGTGTCGAGCCCTGCAACAGACACGCAACACTTCAGTGAAATGTATACCATTCCTTCCAAACTGATGGAGCTGCAACAAGAAGACATCAAAGAAATTAACGAAGAAATTAAACAACTCCGACAGAAAAAGCGTGCTGTATCTAGCACTTTGTGCTTCGTATTCAAAGATGAATATGTACCAGATGAGTTGTTCCACAGAATGTTTGCCCAGATCCTGAGAAAATACAAATCAATATCGTTGTCAAAGCGTATGAAGACGGATATCAACGATACCACCAGTCTCTATAGGGGCTTTGGATGTTTCGAAGTCGACGATCTTTGCAGATTTATCTTGTCAATGCATGCAGTACGGTCGACCATAGCTGTGACAATGTTCAGTCAAACAGAATCTCGGCTTCAGGCTGATTCCGGACGAGGTCTAAGGATCTCAATCGAACAGATTCTTTGTGACATACTGTCGATGAGCAACCAGCGACACTTTTTGTACACGCACCAACTACATTGCAACTACCACTTGAGTCCATACGACACGCCAGTAGACTTGCATGGCGTCATCCACTCAGAACGGGGCGTGTTCTGTAAAGGCGAAGAATGTCAGCAGAGGCGACATCAGATGTCGAAAATGGATGCCGAATACTGGGGCTTGACAGAGGTAGTATTAGCAAGACAGATTGAACCTTATTAAGATGTCAATAATTCCCTTAAAGTGAATAATAACATCAGTTGGTGAGCTAATGGTTCTGAGATTTTTTCATTGAAAAAATAAAGGAAATATCTTTAGATCAAAAATGAAAATAAAATCGGTAAAGTCGTGTGTTATAATAGATGCGCATAATTTTGTTTCTATGTAAGTGTTGGTTTACTTGTTTCTGAAAGATTTAACTATTTCACCAGGATCCGCGACCGATCCAGAGAAATGACAACGTGGAAGCAGTTTCTGAAACTATCTATGACAGAAGAATGGTTCGAGTGGGTATGTTAATATTTTATTCTAAGATATATATATGTCACTTGTTTTTGATAATGTCAGGACCTAAATGTTTATATTATGTATATCAGTGCCATCTAGTCAAACAAGCAACATAATCCACTACACGGTGAGATGATTTGAGGCTCAAACAAATCTTCTTTTAGAGTGAGGTTGATCCAAAAAAATAAAGACCAATTTCAGTGACACCTGTTTTCATGAAACTGATGTTTTGATACCTGTACGATTTTCCTTAAACCTCGGCGATAGGAGGAACTTTGGATACAATCAATTTCAAAATGTAAAAGTAACATGAACTCGAGGAAGTAAAAATAATTAAAATATATCAATAAGAACAACAGTTAAATCAACTATTAGTATGCTGAATATCCTCAGGTTATTTGCAATCATCGTGTATAACTATAATATCAGACGTCGTTTTTGTTTTCTCTTTTGTATGTCATTGTGATTCTTGATATATTTGATTATGTTAAAAAAAGAACACAACAACTCAATTCTTTACTTTCTAGGTTTTAATGAAATGTTTTGGCGTAGGTGGTCACGGCTTCATATACGAATATTTTCGATCAGATTAATAATAATTAAGCCAATAGCTTAGAATACAATAAATTTTAAATTTTGGGCTACCTCAAATGATACCCTCAAGTTCATATTTTACATAGAGCCAACTTCTCCATTACAATGTTCATTTCTTGTTATCATTATATCAATTCCTTATTAAAGTCAATTGTAAATTATACAATATGAGATTTTTTACACCTGACCCCGGAAACAGGTCAAATGCCTATAAACTAATGACCTAAATTAATTTTTCAAATGTTTTTCACCGCTCAACGCCAATTCTGGAAATATTCAAGAAATCACCAAATTTTGTACTGATAAAGACGTGCCATAGTCTATTGTTCACAGGAAAGTCTATTACTCCACCCCGGAAACGGAGATGAGAATCAATTAGCTGACTGTTTCCCGAGTTTGATCCTGGCCTTCATTACACCTCCACTTCTAAAAAAATAGACATAAAAGAAAAACCAACAGTATCCGCCCATTTTTGGGACAGGGAGGGTTGGGCAAATTTACGGTTGGATTAATTTCTAGTACGTGAACATATACAAAATTAAAATTACTCGACACAATCTTACCAACAGCAAACTTTTCTTATCACACACTATAAACCCTCAGCAATGTGTACATGGGAGACAACTCCTATAAAACTAAATATTTTTATCATAAATCCCTATATTGAATAAACAATATTCATGATTAAATTGATAAATATACATACTTGGACATGACGTGTATGTATGTTTTGCCATAGATCATTGCTAGTTGAAACAAATACCTAATTTATTACATTACCGATTTTTTAATGTGTTTCAAGTGTTATTAATTTATCATTGAGTGAAAACAAGTTATAGAAATGGTATATCCTATGCGCGTTACTTTTTACAACATAAAGTGATTGAGGGTTGATGACACGAGGGCAAAGAGGAAACGAAATAACCATTTACATGGCGGTCATTGAATCATAGATTAATGTAACATCAGATGTTCCCGAGCGATAAACTGCTCGTCAAATAAATGTTGGTCACTTAAAGAATGTAATGTTTAAAGATGAGAACATGTCCAACAACTAGGCCAAGAAACACCTACGCATTATTCCTCATCAATTTGCATTTATTGAAAACCTGTGTTAGCTGTATTGCACGGAAATCATTTTATTATAAACAAACCTCTTCCGTATAAATTTAGTTCGTGCATTTTTTTGAGACCATTGAATAATTTTCATTTTTATTTTGAAATTAATGTTCTATAAATAACTCTTACGAAAAATGGCTTCACAACTTGTTATGACATTGTTTTCATTTGAGAATATGATATTCCTGACTTTGATTGGCCAAGATTTACATGGCGGTGATACTTAGTTTTCCGAAACACCCGGTCTTATTCTCCGTTTTTCTTTTCGGGAGACTCCGTGTAAATCTTTTCTTTTGTTCAAATCTTGCCATAGTCGTTTGGAATTTGAGTTTAGATTCTGGTTATGTTGACATTATGGCATTTTCTTGTTGTTTTCGTTACCTCTATATTGGCCAAAAACGATGTCTATATTTGAAAAAAATAACCTTGATAAATACGGATATAAATATTTCAAATAGTGTTAATAAACACAAATAGTTGTGATTCGTGTTACAGCTGAATACAACGTCATGCACATATTACCATTTACCTAGTCTTGGGCCCACAGACTCTAGTACATCTATGGCAAAGTGTTTTAACAAAGTGTCGCTGAATTGACTACAGTACATTGTTGCAATATAGTGTATTTTTGTCTATAACTTGTTTACCATCTCGTCTGTAATTTTAAACTTGTAATTAAAGGTACTTCGAATACGGGATTAAAAGAGCCATTGCAATATAGAATGTTTAATGCAATAGTAGAAAACTTAAATAATTAAAATAAGCAATATACCATTCATACAAGTTGACTTAAAGTGAACATTATAAGTTTTATAAGTCGCGAAAGTTGTTATGAATGATAATGACATTTTACATGTATTACAAGTTCAGTGTTTGTTCACAGACCTCACTAAACTAATGTATCCTGATTATCATATTGTAGACACGATGGAGAATAACGATGATATCCCAAACAGAAGGCCCACACCACGGGAACTTGGCCGTCTGTCACGCCTGGTCGACGCTGCTGAATGCGATTGTCTGTTTGCTGCCCTTGGTCTACCATACCCTGATGTCAAGAATACTAAATGGGAGTCACGCAGTGAGGCTGGAATCACACTGATCACAAAGATGTTTCTAAGATGGACAATCGCCTACCCAAATCAGACATTTCGTGATATTAAACAGGCAATGGAAGCTGCTAACATGGCAACAGACGGCATAAGTAGAATGCTGGTTGATTTTGTCGACAACCAACAGATTCGAGGTAAGAAATATATACTCCTGTCGAATGTGTTTCATTCTAAATACGACACATATTTTGCAAACAACTTATTTTAAAGAAATCGTTGTTGTTTCGGATGGTTTCATGTTTACGGTTGACACCAAACCTTCTTCTGAACATGTCACAGTAAACGCAAATACCTCATGAGTTGCTCGATTTCAGCTTTGGTAACGGTGATTTTCGTCCACTAGGTCGATTATGGAAATGTATATATATAAACAGCATATAGGGCATAATTTCACATGAAAACTAAATGAAAATTCAGCTACATGAAAATATTTTTGGGGGGTTGTGATGTTTTTATACATAATTGTTGATTAATAGAATCTTTCCCTACCTTGAGGGTGTGACAGAGAAATCTCGAACGCGAGGGGTGATATTTTTGGTTGTCTAACCCGAGGCAGGAAATCACCCCGAGGGTTGGAGATTTCTCTGTTACACCCTTAAGGTAAGGGATTATTTTTCTCCCATCATACTTTTTCTCAGAGAGCCTTAGCTTCGGTGATAATCAGCTTGTAAACAAACAGGAAAAAATACTGTTCATATGTAGCAGACTACGTGTGTTGAAGTAGTTCCGGTTCACTTCCGGTGCACGCGCTATATGTCATACTCTAGGGGTTGACAGAGAAATCATACCCGTGGAGTTGACAGAGAAATCTTGAACAAGTAAAACGGGTAACAAGCCTTTGAATGATGGGAGAAAACCAACCTCAATACAGATTATCTTATTCCAACATCATTGGCTTAAAGAGGAACCTGAATGCTGATAGGTTCGATTTTCAATGGATTTGTTGTTGTATTAGAACAAAAATGCCGAAAACCGCATCGAAATTCGACCATCCGTTTCCGAGATATATCCGTCTAAACGCGCCGATTCACACCTGCTTCGAGATGTTAATCAAGCAAGCGATCAAATTACCCTGATTTACATCCGGGTATTGGTGACGTCACAAGTGGAAGCGCATCGAGGGAAAATCACAAAATTCAACATGGACGGTACTGACTACTCAGACAATGATTCGTACTTTACTGATGGCGCTCTTCGTTTGTCTTGCGAATCAGCGCCTTTCGAAGATTCAGACAACGATGTAGTTGACGAGACATCACATTGTGGGGTTCTTCCGTACCAGTTTGAACCATATGAAGACGACGTAGAAGACAGCGAGAACGAAGATGAAACTGTTGATAGCCAAGCTGACCGCATTGGTAACACCGACTGGTAAGAATGTAAACATATAGCTTATGGTAGTATCTTATTTTATACCTGAAGTTAGACCATAGAGTCAACAGTTTTAATATCAAATTATCTATGATATTATGTATAAACAAATATAGGTTGTAGACAATGTGCAATAGCACCAATAGGTCGTCTCGAGCTCGATCAAATGATACTCTGAATACACATGACACTTGTCTAGACAGTAACTCAATCTTTCTTAAATGCATGATTATATCTCCAGGAGGGTTTTTAAGCATCATAATCATTACTGGAATGAAGAAAAAAGGTTAAAAATAGACTGAAGTTTCACGTAAAATTCATTCTCGTATAGTCGTTGAACAATACATATGACAGTAAGTTGAGTAACAGATAATCACTGTTAAATTCATAATATTTGACCATGGTTATTTCTATTGTATTAAGATATACATGTGGGAATTGCTATCCTATGTCCACGATGACAGAATCTGTTTGCTGCAGAGAAATCAACCAAGTTAACGACATCAGGAGAGAGGTCCCAAACGTTAATTGTGTCATCGACCATCCAGGTTTTGAACCAGTCTGTCTCAATGTCCATGTATTGAGGGCCGCATACTTTGCATATAGACAGCAGTATGGGGAAGAAATGGAAGACACTCCAGAGTAAGTATTTGTTTACAGGAATGTTTACAAAGTCTTTACTGTCCCAAACAAACACTTTTACAAAATTCAAGTCAGATAAGTTTCATTAGATAATTGTGATTTAGAATCTCTACAAGGAATTCAAAGATTTGATTTTTTGCAGGAAAAAACAACTTGAAAGCTTTTACAAATTTTAATTGCCCAGCATAAAATTTCATTTTGTAAATGATATATATTCGTGTAAAATTGAATTTCTTGCGCTGTGGTGTTATTTAAAATTCCTACATTATTTTACAGCCGACGTAGGTATGTTGCCTACAGACAACTGGTCAGGTGGTGCTTTGGTTATTTGGGCAGGAAAGTGAGGGTTCCAATTCCATCCTGTGTTGTCAGCAAAGTACGGAGCAACTTCCCAGCTAAAGATGATGAATATACTGGCTTCCAGCATGCAGTATGAAAATTCTTGGGATAAATGACAAAAGTCTCTGTGATATTTTGTATATTTATTTAAAATCGTAATAAATATTTTTTGTATTGCTTTGCTGTTCTATGTAATATTTCATCAATACAAATAACAAATGTAAGCGACATAGATATGTGGATTTCAAAAAAAAATAGCATCATAAATCAAATTGGTACGTTTGTACCGGCAGGGTAAGTATTCACTTCAAAAATGAAGTTCAAAAGTTCATAGAAAATCTTGAATGCATTCCTGCTATGGCATCCGACATATCTGGGTGAAGAAAGTCATGACACAATGGTGGAGGAACTGTGGGTGGAATAGGAATTCGTTGCTTTGCTAGTGAAGATCTTTCTGCCATGCTCATGACAACTTCTGTAAGATTTTCCACGTAATCTGAAAGAAAAAATGCAAGTTTCATGATTCATATTCTAACTGTACATTCGATTTCTACATCTAGAGAAAAGTTACAATTATCTTAAAAACATTCAAATGACACATCTGGTTATTCTGTTGATTAAGTGTGCGCTTAAATGTCTGGCAGGTCACGATAGGCAGCTTAAGATAATATACTGAAACTTACATACGAGAAGCAAATGTATTAATACTAATAATTCAAATTCTATACATAAAACTTACCAAAGGTGCTATGAACTTTGACTTTCCTGACGAAATGCTCTCCTTTTTTATATTTGGGAAATTCCAAGCGGTAACGCAACACACCGTCTTTATCAACTGCTTGTAATTTGGAGCGGTTTTCATTAAAGTGAAGGGCTGCTAACTGCAACCTGTAGTGAAATATAATGGAAAAGATATAAGTTGATTATATGTTCCGTTGCATCACATTTACTGTGCAGATTAAACTTCATGCAGTATAGGTAAGTCATGGTATACATCAAATGTCATTAACATACTCCAAATTCAAAGCCAAGTTATACTTCCAACGTGAATCTTTACCAAGAGCTGTGTAAAAAATTCGAGTTGTAGGCATTGAATCTAGCACAAAGTATAAGTGTAAATAATCTACAAAGTTAGATGATCATAGCTTAATTGTGGAAAAAGTAATACTAGGAATTTGAACACAAAAAGGCTAATATACCAAGTCTATTTTCCCTTAAAAACTAAGGAGCTCACAAATCTTAAATTTCATGGTATTTGGAAATCTCTTTATAATTGGATCCTTTCTTCTCTGACACACACACATACATATCAATATACATGTATCACTTACATACCTACATATCATCCCATGGTATGAAAACCCAATCATTTTTGGTGCAAAATGATTCATGACAGAATGGTATGCCTCTATGCTGGAAGTCTGTTGTCCTGTGGACAACATAGGAATGTCTTTCCTCATCTGGTTGGAGAGAATGACATCATCTAGTTTTTCACTAACCTTGGTTGCTGTAAAGAGAGTTCAAGAATTATAACAAGAAATAACTAGTTACTTTTCACTTTGTTGATGTTCATTTCAAAATTATGATTAATTAATGGACTGAAATTTTCAATAATTAATGTTTCTTCTATGGTCATGGATTATTTTCACAAAACATGTCCATAGAATTTGTGTCCATTATTCATTTGACCCACCCCATTTTCCCTACCATTGTTATGCAAGTTGAAGTTAATTTCTGAAATAACTGGTATTGTCAAATACCTGGTTTAATCCATTTCTTCTGCCTTTCTCTACCGGACAGGTCACCATGACAACACTTCTCAAACGGAGATCCATGACCATCATGTATGTTTTGTACATGGTTTGCTACACTCTGCCACTTTTCCATCATTAGGGAAGAATCTGCAGACGGAGTTGATGCAGCTACCCAATAAAGGTGGTTGCTAATACTCTTTATCCAAGGTGTTAAGGCATCAAAATCTTTATCCTTGGATATTGCTGTCAGTTTTTTCTTTAATCCTAGTAATAAAAAAACATGTCAAAATTAGTGAGAAATATTCAGCTATCAAACCATTATGCAGTTGTCTACAGTCAAACCTGCTTTGGAGCATACCTTTGTATGATGGATAGATTGATTAAACCCACCCGGCACTAAGGACAACTCCTATAAAGGACAGTTTTCCTCTAAACCTGGGTCTTCATAAACAATTTTAACTATCTAAAAATGACTTACATATCAAACTTAAATTACACTTAGAATACGAGTACTTCAACAACCAAGAGTGTTATATGAAATACATATGAAAAGCATTTTTTGTTGAAAACTTACCCTTTGCTACATGCCAGATATTTACATAGTGTTTTGTTTTAGGCATATTTTCCCTGACCCATTTCAAAATTTGTACATGACGATCTGTAACAATCTTCTGTATAGTAATTCCAGCATCATTGAAGGTCTTCACACTTCAGATCAACCCTTCTGGTAGCTACTTTTGACTTCGTTACTCTAAAAATAGAATGTGTGAAATTGATAAATGAATTGATTGTAAAGGCAAGGGATTGATTTGATTTTTTTCTCAACACTTCCAAAAGGATTCACCTGTGAAAATACAAAGCTGTCTTACAGCCACTAGGAAAAAGACAGCTTAAACATGCTATGATGTCACAAAAACTGCCAAATGACATCACAATTTCATTCACAAAAAAATTTATTATACCAACACTGAAACAAGGTTTTCAGCATCATGAGTTTGGGAGAAAAAAAATCAATTGTAGGGTTGTAAAGTGAACAAAAAATCTCAACCCTCAGGTGGAGATTTTTCTGTCTACGTTACACTCCGATGATGGAATCATATGATAATAGTACAAAACAAATCACAGATTTTCTAGTAACATGTATGGACAGATTTACTTCACATTTGCAAGTTCACATGGCCTCTGTTTGCCCATTGCAGGCCCCCAAGGGGCCATTTCTGGCCCATTTTTTTCCATATGGGAAAACAAAACATGATCGCAATAGAACAAGAGCTTTCAGCTGACAGGTGAACTAAAAACAATTACCTGAACCAATTGCACATAGACTACTCTGGATTCATCTAAATCCATCATTGTGTAGCTGCCATACTTTGCAGAGTGACCTGGGGTATCTGCACGTCCATCTCCTTCCAATACAATTTCTCTATTTTCTTGAATCACACTGTCCAAATAGCACTGCTGATGGTCATTCCAAACTTGCAATATGGCTGGCTGAAGAAAATACCTCTGATGTTGCAAAAATGTATCGCAAGATATTGTGGCCATGCAGTGATTTGCTTGGAAGAGACCCAGAAAACAGAATTGCACATGAAAGCAGTAAGTTTCCAGCTGGTATTGACCCGATCATTGGTTGGCTCTTCCAAACATTGGTATAGGAACAAAAAACACAGTCCTATAGAATTTTCACTGTTGTACCGCGCAGCTGTTGAATATGTCCAAATGTTGGGCTGGAGCATCTTGGGCATGCTGAAAATAATTTTAGGAGTTTTGATTCGTAAACCAAAAATTTTCTGTCTCTTCCATCATCCCTGAAAAAAAAATCATTTTACTTTAAATTCTTGGTTTGGGCAGTGTATTTTGTCATAATTTGCCAGGCCAACGAAAGGCACTTGCACTGAGTAATAATTTAGCCTTAGTAATAACACAAGAGATCCAAAAAGTGGTGGTGAGATAAAGAAAGTGATATAGATGAAGATGTACAAGTACCATTATGTGGTAAAATGTTACTAATTATGACCCTTGAATTAAACAACATCAACATACTACAAACCTTTTTAACACAGAGGTCTAGTGACCTTTAATAACAATCATTTAACTTTACAATTGATCATAACAATTAATGAAAACATCTCCCATGGCTTGATTTGTGTGTAGTATCTCATTTTGTAATTACTGTATATTATTCATAAGCAAAAACGATTTGTGACAGTTTTCTCTAGAGCAAAAAATACACAACAGTATTTTTGTGTAAAAAAAAACACCTTTCATCATCTATGTTGCTATCAGAGTCAACATCTTCATCTGCTTCACTCTGAAATGACGCATTAAATGAACTGTCAAACAAGTCTTCTTGGGGACTACGGTCATCCATATCTCCATTGACCTCTGTGCCGTCATGATCAAAAGTAAGATTGTGGTCCTCGCACATGTTGGTGTTTGACGTTTGTTCTGGTTTTATAATATCACACTGGATGGCCACAGACTTGCATTCATTGGATGTCTTCTGACATACTACAATAAAGAAAAATGATAAAAGTGGTGTAACAAACTAAGAGAATGAAAACACTTTTTTTCTGAGCTCAGAATATACCTTTCTCCTATTCAACACCTTTACAGCAACGTAACATTGGGCTGCACCTGTTCCTTTGGAGCAGAGAGTAGTAGTAAAGTATAACTATTTAACAATCCGCCATCCATAATGCAGATACCAGAATTTAAAAAACTCTGAAGAAAAGGTTGTACCCGTTTACATAAGCACCGGAAACAAGGTCATAATACCAACATCAGGATTCAAGATGGGTGAAATTTCCGGAAGTGTGTATTACTAACGAAATTCGGAAGTGTACTGGAAAACAAATTCATTAAAAATTGCAAAAAAATGTAGGGGGGACTCCATCAAACACCCTACACAAATCATTTGTTTTGTGAACAAGATATTATAATTGCAATTTTAACTCAGAGGATTGAGTGTATATTTATCTTCCTTTCCGCAAATCAAACAGAACTGTCTTCATTACAATATGATGAACTGTTAATACATCTGCATAAATTTAACTACACCCAATATCAATTTCTGATGCACAATTTTGATTAATCACTGTACCTTGGTTATGAGTTTTAAAACTTGTTTGTATTTTCTTTGACCTTTTTGCTGGCTTCTTCAAACCTACTTGGCAACTATAGGTTCTTGTTAAGGCTGTTGTTGATCCTGATGGTGTCCACAAAAACGTTAAAATACACAAACTTCAATAAAACACATGAAAACCCTGTTACATAAGTATCCCTTCTGCCCCATGCCTTTCTGTTGTCTGCCTATATCAGACTCCGTAATATCAAGAAAAAATACTAGTTTTTCAACTTTTAAGAAAACAAGTTTATTTTTAATCTAGGTATAAGACTGTTATAATAATGCACTTTTCAAACACTTCTTTGTGAACTCTGATCTGGTATCAATATCAAAATATATCCAACAAAGTTGAATCTGGTTTTAACTTCTACGGAATGGATGCTAAAAACTAGGACATAGTTACAAACTCTATTAATACCATTTAGATTCTATGTGCTAAAATAAATTGCCAGATGTTTCCTTTCCATGAACTAATTGCACTTTGAATTGTTTATCCTCAAATTCTTACATGTGATGTTGAGTTATCACTCTCCATACCGCACACCATGGTATTATTCGAACCATTGTCAACATCATGGTCAATCTCCATCAGTTCTGTTGCTTGTAAATGCTGTGACAGTATCTGGAGGGGAAAACAAATGATCAAAATCAAAATAATAATGACTTTTAAAATTTAATATCATAATTCAAATATGGGACAAATAGGTGTGACTGGTATATACTAGCTACATTGTACACTCTACTGGTATAATACCTTCACTTTAAATGTACATGCTGTATATTTGATTCTCTTCCTAGTATAGAAAGTTGAGGCACCATTATACATATGTGTAATATTGACCAATGAAACATTGACTAGAATTCTAGTTGTCTGAATTTTTAACAAAATTATGAAAATACCAATACGCACGTTATTACTAAATTGTACATACCCTAGCATTTTCTCTCTTAGTAAAAGCCATTCTTTGTTTCTTTGGCGGTGGTGGCGTCTCTGTAATATTAGACATCGGGCTTGGTTCTGAAGCGTGTATAGATGGAACAGCATCTGGAAGCAGGTCTTTTCTTCGGACTGACTGGCCTAAACTTTCCATGATCTTATACTTCGCCGGGTAACAGGACTTGTCGAAATGTTTCGAACAAATTACTGAATGTTTGGTGGCTCCGGCCCAGTTCTTCCTTTTCGTTGTTACAAATGAAGTCCACTTTCTACAAATATCATTATTCTTCAATGGAAAGAAATGAAGGGAAACTCCATCTTTGCTGGTGTTGCTGCAACCGAAAACAACACATCTTTTTCCTGAACGTCCGGCAGTCGGCGACGGGTCACCATGGTCACAATAATTGACAGAAAAATCCACGAACGCTCACAAATATTTGAAACCTAAGTAAAACATTCCATGATGACACTACTGTTACTTTACCATCAATTATAGTATAAATTAGTCGAATAACATTCAAGTAGGCCAAAAAAACGAAACGATATAACTTGGCTTCTGCTGGAAAACTAATGGCTGCTGCAGTGGGATAGAACGCGCGCTTCCACTTGTGACGTCACTACTGAAGAGCTCTGTTAAAGTGCCGTTCGATGATCTCGTTCAGGTGTGTTTTTAGCGTTTTCGACAATAACTTTGGAACGCGTGGATAGTTTTCGGCGATTATTGCGGTAAATGAACGAGCAAAGGCTATTTGATTTAATGACACATATATGACAAAGCATTCAGGTTCCTTTAAGTGGAATATACTTTCTCTTCACAAAACTTTTAATAACACATTCCGATTTCATTTTTTACATCTATCGAAAATCGATATTATGTGGGGTGTGATATATTTGCTAACCCCACCAACAACTTTGCTTAAAGCTTCCTTTACACTGATATTATTTTATTATAAATTGACTGTGTTTGATCCTCGTTGACAAAAAAAAACTTACATGTGTCCTATGTGACCTGCCAATGAACCAATGTTGTCATATTTCGTAGTAAAAGATTCCGAAACATATAATGGGTATTGGAATTGAAATGTAGATAACTGTAGTTTCAAACGAAATAAATGCAACCGTTTTGTTTGGCTTTCTCATTACTTTTCTTGTAAGGTTTTCTATTCTCTTAGTGTCGCCATCGATGTCACTGTGAACTTCGCCTTCGTGATTGGGCAATTCAAATCAGATACTGAATCCTGAAATTGTGCAAATCTTTGCTATCGAAATTTATTATATATCTTATTTAAGAATTCACAAGGAAAAAAGCACAACGGACGACGCAACTCTTTGATAGGAATGTAAACTTAATATATCAAGAACGTTATTTTCCATCTTATTTGCAGAAACACCGTCGGTAATTTCAGAAGTATTTACTAAATATAGAATGAATTCTTTAATTGTTAATTTCAGATGTGGTTCCAATTGAAGTCTGGAGCAGAGCACCAACTGCTGCAGAAATAGAACAAATCGTCGACAGGATAGGTAATGCATATTTCAACCTCTTCTTAGAACTCGGTTTAATACCAACAATCATAGAACAGTATGACATTAGTCACAAGGGTGATTTCAAGACAAGGATTTGTGCTCTCCTCCGGTATTGGATTGATACGTTCCAGACGGAGGCAACAATAGGCAGGTTGTTGACAGCGATGAAATTTTGCCATATGGAATGGTATTCAACATCAAAGATCGTGTCAACTGCTCATGAAATTAGACGAGAACGGAGGTCTAAATGTACAATCTTGTAAAAGTAACGCTTACATCTGTTTAGCTTACGGGTGTAAAAATGGCGGTTCTTTTAAAGGCAACACAACAGAAATTCGATCAAAGCAGAAAAAAATTATGTGTCCGCGAAAAGGAAAAACATCAAGATACTTTTTGAAGGGACACATAACGCAGTACTCTACTGCGATTGGCTGACAAACAATAATACGATATGTATTATTTTAAAGAGCCCGCAAAGATTTCATGAGATCTTCAATCACTCAACATCCGCTGCAGTTCAAAAACATAAAATTAAAAGCATTGTGATATGCAGGATATACTCAAAAAGTTATATCGACATTGAAGTATTTCCGGGTTTGAATAAATGTCTTTTGAAATTTACATACACACAATGTATTCAAGTGACCACCGGAAAAATAACAAAATATTCATTATCATGTAAAGTTCATACGAAATTATTTTTTAATTCGTTGTTATCAACGTACATTAATTCTTATTGTTTCACAAATTGTACGCCAATTATACCATAATAGTCAGAAAATGTCATAGATCACTCCCTGGTGTGTTGAATGTTCGGCTAAACATTTTCAGTTATATCATAAGATTTTTACATGTTATGTCATGCAATTTACATTATATATACCAGTTGTGTTTATTTTTTGTTTAAAAGCTATAAAAATGATTTTATTTTGTAGGTCATATTTCATTAACAATTTTAAAAGTCGCTTTGATTCGATCTATTAATCAACTCGTTTAAATTGTCTTATAGTTGTGAATGACATACTTTTCTTTTACTGAAAGTTATTTCGCTAATTTCAGAAAAAAATATTTTGTTTCAAAACATAATTCTTGTTAAGATGTCGTCTGTCTGTTTCTTTCTATCACTTAAATTTCAACATATCCTAGTGGGTTGGTTTTCTGTCAAGGCCTTGGTTTTTTACCACTTTAAAAGACGAGAAACGCGAAGGCTGATTTTGTCAGAACACGCGGTCTTATCCCACCTTGCTAAAGGCCTTTTTGTCGTTTGTATATATTGCCCTTATGGTATTGATTGTGTATGTTCTAGAGGTTTAATACCATAGTTAAAATAGCATCTAAGATCAACATTCCATTCTCTGTAATTATCACATTTGTAAATACATTTTAATGGTCATGATATAGAGAAATGTTATCATTTCTAGATAGAATGGATTGGTGGATTATTTTGAGGTGTCAGAAATTTTTCACAGGTTGCAAATAAATATTGTTACTGTTTAAAGTGAAAACAATTGTATTCAATTATGCATTTGCTTGTTAAACAGTCCGCTGGAAACACGTTAAAATATCTAAAAGAAGAGTCTTTGTAAATGTTTTGATGTGTTATGAGCACTTTATATATTACAAAATATAATCATCTATGGAATATTGAGATGGGACATTTTTTTATATAGATTTGAGATATTTGCCTTAAGTTTGAAGTGTCGTAATTCATGTGTTACGAAGATGAACAGTTTTGTACATCTTTGATGTTTGAACAGAAACTTATTTGCTTAAAATGTATATGTCTTAATTATGATATTGAAGTGAAATGTTTTGTAGACCGGAAATATTTTACATTTCAATGATTTTGAAATTTAAAATGAAGAATTCGTGTATGATTTTTTGCAGTAAAAGAAATGATATTTTAATCACAAGATGTAAACCGTCGTCTGTTTTTCATACATTTTTTACAAAGATGTTGATTACATGTTTGATACACTTTGTGAAATTTGAAGTGAAAGGGAGGACTATTCACAGTTTGAAAGATATTTTCTGACAAAGTGAATGATCTATTTTGTATTTTATGCCACAAAAGAGATCATACGTTTAAAAAAAATCTTTGTCGGAACTTAGATAATTTGATGTCACGAATACTTGTAGAAATTGAAGTGCGAGCAAAACTATATAGTTAACGAATATGTTTTTAAATGAAAAAAAAATCGAAATTCGAAGATGATTTCCAAGAATAAGTAAAATTTCGCTGAACACAAGTGATAAACATTTGACATACATGGAAGTGATTTTGCTTTCTATTTTATAATTTATATTCAATGTTCTGTATGATTACGAATATCATAACACTCAAACTGTGGTAAAATGTACACTTTGGCAGGAATTTTGTGGTCAAAAACAATCTATATAATACTTGTACTAAATCTATATACGAGTTTGAAAAGAAAACATATTTATTTTGAGAATATTTCAAATAGTCCTTATAAAGCAGATACTATTTTTGAATCAAAAGAAAGTTCTTAAACTATTGACATGTTAGCATTTTTAGGAATCTTAGATGTTTGAAATTATCTTTAAATTACAAATAGTATACTTTTGTGGGTTTTCAAGAGAAGTCACTTTTGATTGATTTGGGAATCGAAACGACGCATATTTAGAATTTTCGCCTGAAAAGCAGTTACAAAGTCACACGCCTTTGTCTTTTTTTCTTGAAGAGAGATAAATGTGTTGTAGATTACAAAATGTAAGCTTTTGAGGACTATTGAAATATAGAAAACACATTATATACTATAGGTCATGAACAAAAGAAAAATGTATGATTTTGAAAGTAAAGGAACGTATAAAAGTTCCTGTTTTATTTAATGCTCAGCTAAATACTAACAATTATTCCATTCTGTGCGATTACAAGTGATTAAACTTCCGTGAGTTTTTTTAATTTTATTTTTTTTTCAAAATAAGTACACTTTCGATTGATCTAAAAATTAAAGCGACAGATTTTTTAATCTTTGTCTGAAAAACCTTTGAAAGTTACACCCCTTAGTCTTTTCTTGTACAGAGATAAATGTTTTGTAAATTTCAAAATATCAACCTTTGAAAATTATTGAAATATAAGGCACATATTATAAAAGATAGATCATAAACTTTAGTATTATTTACAAAATGAAGGAGGGTGTAAAATGTGAATATACTTTTATTTGATTGCGATATACATGCATATACTAATGTGAAATTCTTATGCCATATATTTGTTTCTATTCTGCCGATTTGCTTCTACATCAATTAAATGCATAGCGCTTTGATTCAGTGTCATTCAGTTTTATGCTTTCTTTTTTATTCTTCATTCGTTATAAAAATGAACATGTATAATATTGAAAATGATAATTGTCTCTGTGCTAAATATTACGCGTGATGAAATGCATTTTATAAAGACTCTCTGACGCCCGAAGTACAAATGTAAAGAACTCTCTACGGGTACCCAAGTATTTATTGAGCAGGTCATAATTGTGCAGCAAAGTAAAAAAAAAATCTTTTCGTGTTCCAATCAGGATTTAAACCAATGCATGATTGTGAATGATACATTACATTAACATATCAATGAAAACGTGGTTTACACGTTAATTTCATTGATGGTGTCAAATAAACATCGTCCGAGTACCCAACCGCGATTTATGGTCTTAAAGGCCTATATACAATTCATAACGTAATTATCTTTCCGTCCATTGGGTTACGTGACATTAAAATGGAACAGCATTAATACTGCTCAGAATATATCGCCGGTGCAACCTTTTCCCTTATACATCTGTCCGTGTAGTATGTACGCCACTCTTATTGTACTCCACACCACCAGTAACCAAAGTATACGTCAAAAAAATGAGCATGGATATTATTCTTTTTTGACATCATAGAACTATCGCTATTCTTTATCCTTACGATGTATACTGAATACATCCTTCAGAAAAAAAACAAAATAGAAAATAACAAGAAAATATACTTGCGGAGTGTACACAATAACGTTGTAATCAATATGATTTCATTATGCTGATACCTTTAACTACTCTTATTAACGGGGAACTCAGGAGAAGCATTAACACCAATGCAAAAGGTCATTGTCCCTTAGGAATACTAAGAGTTTGCCTGATTTATCAACTCAGATCACAAGGTTTCCTCGTCGTCGCAGATTTTACAGCCTCAGATCTTATTTTATCCACAGGCAAACGTTCTCATCAGCCAGCCGTTTGGTCTTTTTATGAAACTCTCAAATATTTCGTCCGAAAAATATCTTTTTTTCTTGTAATTACCATAATATTGATAGTGCTTAACAAGAAGAACCTTTATTTGATTTTTGTTAACCGGTCTTTTTTCAAACCGTGCATCTGTTAATATTGTTTTTTTATTATCTGTATTGACTTACGCGACACTTCCTGAAGTTTGGTTTGGTTTTCTTTGTCAGACCTATCAACGGTTATGGTCATATAAGACATTCAATGGGTTGCGCCAAGTATTACGATTTCCTTGCAAGACATTGACAACTGACAGGTGCAACACATAGTTGCGATAGATGCAGGTTAACGAATATTATAAGGAAGTTTCATGGTCGTCATAATGATCTGAATACATTCTTTCACCACCTTGTGCGATATGAGTGTTTGCCGATTGTTACACGTCGGGGATTCTATTTTTATCAACCCCGGTTTCTTTTGAGAACGTGATATTACTCTCTTGGATTGACCAAGATTTACATCCCAGGCGATATATACATATATATATACGTCTACTTGACGTCCTAAACTTCTCAGATATATGAAATTAGAAAATTGGGGCTAATGCATGGTCCTCTCTAGATTTTTGTGTTTTCTTTCGCTCATTTGGATTTTCCTCATTTAGGCTTTAACATGTAGGCCCTTGATGTAGTTAAATTCATTGTTTGGCTCTATTGTTTCTAAGTCTAACTTTGTATTTAATGGTTTTCTTCCGGTGTGTCTCTTTTGTACAGTCGTACTTGATACTTGATCACAAATTCAAAAAAGAAAGGAAATAAAAAAGAGCCAGGTATAGAATCTTATTTTTAGTTTGTTCTTGAGACTGTTCAGTTGTTCATGCTCTTTTGAACACTAACATCAATATGAAATCCATATCTTTCATTCTCCCCGTTTGGATTTTCTCTCCTTGTTTTATAGCGAGAGAGTTATATAATTTAAAGCGGCCATATACTTCATGATATGTCCTTATCTACGTGTCCTATATCTAAACATGACCTCTATCTGTGCCGAACTTCACAGCCATGGCTATCGTTCTGGCATCAATATATTTGCTTTCCCTTTACTTCTTTCTCTTCCAATACCAGGCATGTGCAGATAAACGGATACTTCTATCCGATCCGAATTACGTGATTCACATTGAGTCCAGTCTTGCTGAACTAACTGCCAAAGTATACGCTCTCCAGACTGAATTCAATACGCAACAGGACACGTTGGATACTCTAGAGATGAAACTTCCCAACACAGGTAACTGTGTCATATTCAATATTTATCACATTGGTGGTTTTTGTCCGAAATCTATAGGTATAAAAATGAGCATTCTATGTAAAATACATATATCAGTCTGCATTCTTTCTTATCGTTCAAGCTTGAGCTAAGGTTTCTGTAGACATGGAGTTGGTGTCTGCACCTCATTCTGCTGACATTCCAGCATAAAATGTAGTCTGACATTACCGTTATTTGCCCGACATGGAATCTAGATAGATACTGTATAAGAATTGTCAACATTCACTTTGATGTCCTTTGGATATAGACCAATTTTGATATTGTGATATCTGACTTTACTGACACTTGACATTCAGGACATCCCATCAGATACAATCAAACTGGACATTAACGCACGACTTTAAGGACATATCATATTCAAAGTGAACCCTGTCTTAACTGACATCTGGCTATAACAATACATGACCTTAAGAACATCTTGTAACATACTTTGAAATTGACACCTCACTCTCAGAACAGTCCATGGTAGTAAAGTAAAAACAGGAGTTAACTAACACCTGATCCTCATGACATTTTGTGATATATACAGTAAAACCTCATTTAACTGACTCCTGACTCTCAGGAATTCTGTGATATATACAGTAAAACCTCATTTAACTGACTCCTGACACTCAGAAATTCTGTGACATATACCGTAAAACATTATTTAACTGACTACTAGCTCTCAGGAATTCTGTGTTATATTTATTTAAACCTTATTTAACTGACACCTGGCTTTCAGGACGTTCTATGATATGCACAGTAAAACCAAAATTTGCTGACACTTGACTTTGATAACATCCTGTCATAAACAGTAAAACCAGAAGTAACTGACAACTGACTTTAATGATATCCTGATATATACATTAAAACCTAATTTTACTGACACCTGACTTTAATGACATTCTGTAATATACAGTAAAACCTGACTTTACTGACACCTGACTTTAGTGACATCTTGTAATATACAGTAAAACCAGGTAAAATGACACCTTACCTTAATGACATTCTGTAATATACAGTAAAACCAGGTAAAATGACACCTTACCTTAATGACATTCTGTAATATACAGTAAAGCCCAACTCTGCTGACACCTGACTTTACTGACATCCTGTAATATACAGTAAAGCCCAACTCTGCTGACACCTGACTTTAATGACATCCTGTAATATACAGTAACACCTGACTTAACTGACACCTGACTTTTATGACATCCTGTAATATACAGTAAAGCCCAACTCTGCTGACACCTGACCTTAATCACATTATATAATAAACAGTAAAACCAGGTTTAACTGACACCTGACTTTAATGACATCATGTAATATATAGTAAAACCAGACTCTACTGACACCTGACGTTTATGACATCCTGTAAAATACGGTTAAACCTGAATTCCTGCCACCCGACTTTCATGACATTCTGTAATATACAGTAAAACCTGACTTTACTAACATCTGACCTTAATGACATCCCGTAATATACATTAAAACCTTACATTCATGGCCTTAATGACATCCTGTAATATACATTAAAACCTGACTTTACTGACACCTGACTTTAATGACATCCTGTAATATACAGTAAAACCTGACTCTACTGACACCTGACTTTAATGACATCCTGTAATATACAGTAAAACCTGACTTTACTGACACCTGACTTTAATGACATCCTGTAATATACAGTAAAACCTGACTCTACTGACACCTGACTTTAATGACATCCTGTAATATACAGTAAAACCTTACTTTACTGACACCTGACTTTACTGACAACCTGTAATATACAGTAAAACCTGACTTCTGACACCTGACTTTAATGACAACCTGTAATATACAGTAAAACCTGACTTTACTGACACCTGACTTTAATGACATCCTGTAAGATACAGTAAAACCTGACTTTACTGACACCTGACTTTACTGACAACCTGTAATATACAGTAAAACCTGACTTTACTGACACCTGACTTTAATGACAACCTGTAATATACAGTAAAACCTGACTTTACTGACACCTGACTTTAATGACATCCTGTAATATACAGTAAAACCTGACTTTACTGACATCCTGTAATATACAGTAAAACCTGACTTTACTGACACCTGACTTTTGTGACATCCTGTAATATACAGTAAAACCTGACTTTACTGACACCTGACTTTAATGATATCCTGTAATATACATTAAAACCTGACTTTACTGACACCTGACTTTAGTGACATCCTGTAATATACAGTAAAACCTGACTTTACTGACACCTGACTTTAATGACATCCTGTAATATACAGTAAAACCTGACTTTACTGACACCTGACTTTAGTGACATCCTGTAATATACAGTAAAACCTGACTTTACTGACACCTGACTTTACTGACATCCTGTAATATACAGTAAAACCTGACTTTACTGACACCTGACTTTAATGACATCCTGTAAGATACAGTAAAACCTGACGTTACTGACACCTGACTTTACTGACATCCTGTGATATACAGTAAAACCTGACTTTACTGACACCTGACTTTAATGACATCCTGTAATATACAGTAAAACCTGACTATACTGACACCTGACTTTAATGACATCCTGTAAGATACAGTAAAACCTGACTTTACTGACACCTGACTTTACTGACACCTGACTTTACTGACATTCTGTGATATACAGTAAAACCTTACTTTACTGACACCTGACTTTAGTGACATCCTGTAATATACAGTAAAACCTGACTTTACTGACACCTGACTTTAATGACATCCTGTAATATACAGTAAAACCTGACTTTACTAACATCTGACCTTAATGACATCCCGTAATATACATTAAAACCTTACATTCATGGCCTTAATGACATCCTGTAATATACATTAAAACCTGACTTTACTGACACCTGACTTTAATGACATCCTGTAATATACAGTAAAACCTGACTCTACTGACACCTGACTTTAATGACATCCTGTAATATACAGTAAAACCTGACTTTACTGACACCTGACTTTAATGACATCCTGTAATATACAGTAAAACCTGACTTTACTGACACCTGACTTTAATGACATCCTGTAATATACAGTAAAACCTTACTTTACTGACACCTGACTTTACTGACAACCTGTAATATACAGTAAAACCTGACTTCTGACACCTGACTTTAATGACAACCTGTAATATACAGTAAAACCTGACTTTACTGACACCTGACTTTAATGACATCCTGTAAGATACAGTAAAACCTGACTTTACTGACACCTGACTTTACTGACAACCTGTAATATACAGTAAAACCTGACTTTACTGACACCTGACTTTAATGACAACCTGTAATATACAGTAAAACCTGACTTTACTGACACCTGACTTTAATGACATCCTGTAATATACAGTAAAACCTGACTTTACTGACATCCTGTAATATACAGTAAAACCTGACTTTACTGACACCTGACTTGAATGACATCCTGTAATATACAGTAAAACCTGACTTTACTGACACCTGACTTTAATGACATCCTGTAATATACATTAAAACCTGACTTTACTGACACCTGACTTTAGTGACATCCTGTAATATACAGTAAAACCTGACTTTACTGACACCTGACTTTAATGACATCCTGTAATATACAGTAAAACCTGACTTTACTGACACCTGACTTTAATGACATCCTGTAATATACAGTAAAACCTGACTTTACTGACACCTGACTTTACTGACATCCTGTAATATACAGTAAAACCTGACTTTACTGACACCTGACTTTAATGACATCCTGTAAGATACAGTAAAACCTGACGTTACTGACACCTGACTTTACTGACATCCTGTGATATACAGTAAAACCTGACTTTACTGACACCTGAATTTAGTGACATCCTGTAATATACAGTAAAACCTGACTTTACTGACACCTGACTTTACTAACATACTGTGATATACAATAAAACCTGACTTTACTGACACCTGACTTTACTGACACCTGACTTTACTGACATTCTGTGATATACAGTAAAACCTTACTTTACTGACACCTGACTTTAGTGACATCCTGTAATATACAGTAAAACCTGACTTTACTGACACCTGACTTTAATGACATCCTGTAATATACAGTAAAACCTTACTTTACTGACACCTGACTTTACTGAGAACCTGTAATATACAGTAAAACCTGACTTTACTGACACCTGACTTTAATGACAACCTGTAATATACAGTAAAACCTGACTTTACTGACACCTGATCCTGTAATTACAGTAATGACATCCTGTACATATACAGTAAAACCTGACTATACTGACACCTGACTTTAATGACATCCTGTGTGATACAGTAAAATGACTGACTGAATTTAGTTTTAATATAGTGAAATAATGTGAGTGATGGTATATTGTGATACCTTTAATGTTGGTGACTTATAATGTGATGTGACAACCTGTAATATACAGTAAAACCTGACTTTATGAACCTGACTTTATGACATCCTGTTGACGTAAAACCTGACTTTACTGAGGTGACTGTATAATGTTACTGACGGTATAATGTAATGATACAGTAAATGTGAGTGATTTACTGTGAATTTATGTGAGTGACCTATAATGTGATGACGGTAATGTGACCTGACGATATAATGTGAGTGACGGTATAACCTGACTGACCGTATAACATTTGAGTGACGGTAAATGTGAGTGAAAATATTAGTGACGGTATAATGTGAGTGACGGTATATTTGAGTGACACCTGTTGTATACAGTAAAATGTGAGTGAGTATTATATGTGACTTTGAGTGACACTTTATAATGATATAATGTGAGTGATGGTGAATGTAATATACAGAAAAAGGTGACGGTATTTTGAGTGACACCTGACTATAATGTGAGTGACTTTATAATGTAAAACCTATAATGTGTGAGTGACGGTATAATGTGACTGACGGTATAAAATAAGTGACGGTATAATGTGAGTGATGGTATAATGTG